AGGATAACATGGGTGGTTTAAAGCCATGAAAGAAGGTGGATAGAATTCTTCAACTTAACCTTGACAGGCATCTTAATTTTTCTGTTGGAAGACGGTCAAAATTGGAGGATGGATCAACGAAGATAATTTGGAAGACTGTCAAAAAATATCTCTGGATCTGCCCCTGGACAAGTACATGTCCACAGATCACAATAGTACCAAGTCTCGGTTATTTCATTTATATATTTTTCACATTATTAAGCATATGATATCAGAAATCACCACTGTCACCAGCAGATCGAGGATATCAAGCAGGACTTAAGCATGCTCCTGAAGAATATAGTGTATGATGGAGCATTTTCCATTTTTCTGTGATTAAGTTTTATTAATATTTTATTATTTAGCTGTACAAGTAAAATCTGGTAAACAGATGAGAGGGTGATAACTGAACTATGTTGAAAGAGAAGTAATGTAAAATTGCGGTCAAGAAGCAAGCATCATATATATTATAGATACCTATAAATGTCCATTTTGTTCTTAATTCTGACTTATGGAGAAATAAAACATGTTTAACTTCCATTTTCTTTTCATTTGAAGCTTTGTGTGCCTTGCTATCTGTGCTTTGTGTCTGAATTTTAGCTGGGCCAAAACGGTGACAGGACAAGGTCATTTTGGAGGTCCTGAATTAGGGTCAAGCACATTAGCACTGTATAACAGACCATTTTCAAAATAAATGGCTTAAAGGAATTTAAAATGTCTCTACTACTTACCACATTTGAAAAGACTAAATTACCCGTAGTAATTTATGTACCAGTTATTGGAAAGTTGAAATTAATCTTAAGGCAAAATGGAGTTTCAAACAAGCTCAAAACCATGCTTAATAATAAGAAAACATTGGGACAGGCAGATTTGTACATAAATATTGGGTTATATTTTATTTTGGAATTCTCAACACAGCCTTCTTACATAAAATAATGTAATATTTTATTGATATGAATTTTAATCTTCTAAAAATATTGAAAATCTAGAAAGGCAGTCTCATTCTCTATTTTAGTTGTCACAAAAACACTTGTTTGAGTTTATGTCAGGCTTGATTACAATCTCCCTTAGTAATTTATCAGTTCACCTAGCTCTGTGTGCTGAAAAGAATAATAAGGATACAACAAACCTTGAATTTCTTGAAAATTTCTTGAAATAAGCTTAGACGTTCAACAAATCAAAGAGTGACAAACATGATCATGTGAAAAAATGTTCTTCTTCAGTACACAACAATTCCTTCAAAAAAGTTTCAAGGCATTACACTGTCTGACCAGGTTATAAACTGATTTCTGTCACTAAAAATGAGGGATACTAAAAGAGATCAAACCTGGCTTCTTTCTATATGAATTTGGATTATTCTGTAGCTTATTCAACAACATGATACTGCAAGTGAACATAGGCAAATAAGACTTGTGCTAAAGTGAACTTGTGCTTTTTTTTTGTTAGCAAAGCAGCTATACATGTCTAAATGTCATCAGATTAAACTTAGATTTCATAACTTATACTTTGTAATTTCTTGAAACTACTGTGAACACGTAGTGTCAGTGAACAAGTAAAAGCTGAGCAGAAAAGCATCCGTGAATATTTTACACATAAAAATAAATTTAAAGCAAACATTTAGCACTGAAAATAACCCAATAAACAATTTTATGTCTAAGGTGAACTCATATTTTTATAAGCCACCAGAACACAATAATATACTGAGAGAGTGAATGTTCCAACTCATCCAGTAGTGCAACAATAAGGTTTGCAACTTTACTTCTGAAAAATAATATATCCTTTTCAAGTGCATTGAAAATTCCTTTCAGTAACTCATCTGGACAATGCTGCCTACTCTACGCACCTTTACATCTTGCAATCTGCAAGGATGGGAATGAAAACCATAGGCAAAAAACCTATGTCAGTACTTGAGCTACCACAGACTGCATTGTTTGTATGGTGACTATATGATAGCCATATCACACACATGGAAAATCAAAAGGTACTACCAGTATCTTTACAAAATGCACTCTTGTTCCCTTAACAATCCTTCTCGTAGGTAAATAAAAATGATTCTAATTAACATATGGCAACATAAAATCATTGCATTTGGAAAACAGAGAAGATACACAAAGAGACAGTAACAAAGTGAAGCATGCACAAGGCTATAAAACCATTGTAGTTTCCTACAATCGCTATGGCATTAAACAAAATAAGCATATGGCAAGCTATGATGATACACAATTTATCTTTAACCTATTCTAATCTTAGACTAATATAAAATTACTATATTCAGGCATTTTCAAATTTGATACTGTTGAAAGGCTGATCTGTATTCCGCGTTCCATTTTTATTATAGACATACTGTAGTCTAGGAACACATAATGGAGGTAACTATGCAGTAAAACTGAGAGGACCAGCAACTTTTTGGTCCTGAGAATTTTTTCTTTGGAGAAAATACCCTGATGACATGTGTAATGCAAAACTAGATGTAATTCTCACTATACTTTTGTGCACTACCTTCAAAATGATTTTCCATAATTTTTGTAGACAAGAAAGGAACCTGTGTAAAGCAAATTAAGTTCTGAAAAAAGTGAACTTGAAAAAAATATACATTGCAGTACAACACTGACAATAAATACAACATTCCCACTTCTACCAATACTTTCCACAAAACAATCAAGCAAAAATTGAGTTCAAATTTTTACCCATGCTTTCCATTGAAATACTGAACTCTTTTCCAGTGTAAGCAAGTAATACTAACTGTGAATTTATCCCATTTCTTGATTCAGCAGCCTCTAAGTTAAAGATGAGAAATGAACACTTTGTAATAATATCAATGTGTGCTTGTGTACTGCACTTTTTCAAAAAAAAAAATTCTCATCCACAAACAATCTATGAAAACCTGATCTGTGTAAACAATTCCTTCTTTTCAACAGGCAGTTAGTTAACTTTCTTCTTTCTTCCTTGACTTCTTGTTACTGGCCTGGATGAGAGAGTCCCTCTGCCATTTTTCTCTTTTTCAAGGGATGTGATTTTAAAACAGTATATATCCATGTAGTCACAGATTTGTACGCAGACGAACACAGAGTAACGACAAAGATCGACCAGGGTCCACAACTGCAAGAGAAACATGGCATTGAAAGGAGTTAAAAAAGCACAGAGACTTAACATAAATGGACAGTTTTTCTATTAATATAACATTACAGCACAGATGCTAGTTCTCCAGGTGAGTGTCCATACTTTTAGACTGTGGGTATGATTCACATTGCACGTAAATTTTTATAAAAGATTAAGAACATTACCTTAACTATTAGAAATTTACATAATCATTGGCCCAGTTGGACATTTTTTACTATAACTTCCTCAAATACTTACTAAGCAGAGCCATAGGACAAGATATTCATCTAAAATAGTATTGAAATATTGGTTGAGAAATAGCATTCCTGGGCCAATCATACTGGAATCCAGCATTGACATTGCACTTTTGGTCATATGAGCAACCTAGAAAGAAAAAGACAGCAAAGCTATCAAATGTACAGACACTGACATTGCACTTTTTGTCAAATAAGCAGCCCAAAAAGTTTAAAGACAGCAAAGCTATCAAATATACAGTCAAGTCCTATGTCAGTAAAAGAACTTTCAACATCAAAAAGTATCATATGGAATATGGACAAAAGCTACAGACAAAATTATAAGATCTATCAACCTGTTTACTAGCTTTCTCTTGCCAACATTAGAAAATTGATGGAATTTGCTATACTAAAGCCTAAATCTGATTGTTTACCTATTAAACTGAAATTTTAAGCAATTCGCTTACCACTAGCTTATTGGTCACCTTAGCGCCAGCTAACCCAAAGGCTATGATATATAGACATGGATGATTTTCAAATATATGTGTTGCTGATTTCTTGTAAATAGTATAGGCCATAACGAGGATTGTGCCAATAGGAATTACAGGTGATAAAACACTGGTACCCTAAAAATTTAGAAGATTAATTAACAACAAAAAAAACTTTTATATAAGGCTTTTTTTATTATCTCATATTTAAGTCAATGCTTCATTGATATCAGTGTGTAATCATAATAGGAATATTAAAAAAAAATATTCTAGAGATTAAAATTTATTAATAGTTTTTTTTTTACAAACTATAACCACTGCCACTTCACTTACAGCAATTGTGGAACCATTTTTTCCTGCACCTCCTTCTAAAAGGATTATAGAAAAGCTTTCACTCATACTCAAGGTGGTCACTGCTATACTGCTTATGATCATAAGGTGTTTTAGTTCATAGCCAATTAATGGAACCTGAAAATAAACAGCATAAAGAAATATTTTGTGATAACACACAAAAATAATTATGAATAAGAGATCTCATCAACCTTATAAACATAAACTGCAATAAAAGGGACACAACTTCTACAACACAGCTCTCTGAACAACTTCTTGTTCCAATCCAAAATGTATTAATCAATGACTATTTACTTTGTAATTCACATTTAGTGGCACATTAATAAAGTAACACAGTCCCATACCTGAAATGCCCAGATATCATGGCCTACCACAGATGTGGTGATATACACTGCAATCATGACAATCTGTGCCTCAGTGACATCAATTCTAGGTAGAAAAATAAAGAAATGGACATTTATTTACTTGCATCATTTCACCATGATGTTGCATTTCATGTAAATATCAAAGTTGAGTCAGTGAGTCAGTGAAGACTGAAGTTGGATTGAGACTGCAGTAAACTGGACAAAATACATTTGCCATCATTTAGTGTTTTCCTCTACATATTTTCCACCAAAAACTAGAGGATCAGAGAGGCGATACCGCCTCTGGATATTGTACCACCAGCTGGAGTAAGCGCCACCACCACCACAACCACTACCACCTGTGCTGTGATTGACAAAATTAACTAATTGCAATAGACCGGTTCTTAAAATATGCCAAAAGAAGTGAAAAACTGCATAACCTTTGTAAAAATTGTTTGATCAACCAGTTTTGGAGACATAAAACTCAGTTCATGGTAAAATATGGTAAAAAAATAGGTCAAAGGTCAATTTCAAGATCACAGATTGTCAGTATATGACTTCCCATTCAAGTTCAATTGTAGCAATGGGCATATCTCTGCCAGTTTTGGAGATATAAAGGAACAAAATCTTGCAAAGATAGTTCATGTTGAAAAGTAGGTCAAAGGTCAATTTGAAGGTCACAGTAAGATTGCCAGTATATGATTTTTTATTCAAGTTCAATAGTAACTATGGCCCTATCTCTGCCAGTTTTTGAAATATAAGGGACTGAAATGTTGCAAAGTTCAGTTCATAGTAAAAAGTAGGTCAAAGGTCAATTTCAAGGTCACAGTTAGATTGCAAGTATATGACTTCCTATTCAAATCCGTAGAAACTATAAGCAAAACTCTGGGAGTTTTGGAGATATAAGGGATTAAAAATGTGCAAAGTTTAGTTCATGGTGAAAAATAGGTCAAAGGTCAATTTCAAGGTCACAGTAAGGTAGCAAGTATATGACTTCCTATTCAAGTTCAATAGTAACTATGGGCATATCTCTGCTAATTTTAGATTATTTCACATTTTACTTTCACCAATGAATATTGCAACATTGTACTTTTTGATATAGTGCAACTCCTAAACCATATCGAAACAAACAGGATCCCACCTTCAGTATTGCGCTTATTAAGTTCTATAAAATGCAAAAAGCCATAGGTCTACAGCATTTTTGGTTTGAGAATTATGGAGAGTTTTCAGTTTTGCCATTAGATTTTCTAATGGCTGTGTCTCCCGTGAAAATGCACTGATTGACCCCGAAGTCTTGAAAATGAAAGAAGTCCCTAATTGTAACCCCCCACTGTAATATGAGAGCTTAGGTCTGTGTAGTTTCTGAAAATTGGCAGAAACAAATATTTTTTTGCAAAAAATTCCCATTTTTAGAAAATTTTGGCCCATTTGACCTTGAAATAAAGGTCAAAGGTCAAATCCAAGGGCATATTTGGAATCTTCACATATGACTTTCGGTCAGACTTCTATAGAAAATTTTCCCATAATTCCTTCAGTTTGGGAGATATTTGGCATTGAATTTTCAAAAACTTTGACAAGGGTGCATTTCAACGAGTGCCATGCCCAGGCCATTGCACCAATTGAGACAAAAAAACCAGGTGGTTCAAGTTGAGATTATAAGTGACCTAAATCCAAGAGATGGTGACACGGGCCCTTGCGGTCTAGGAGGAGAAGCGGTAACGGTGACTTGTATCCGGCGCCAGAACGCGGAGCCGGCGGAGCCGCAGGAGCCGTACGAGACGGGTCGGGACTAAAACCATGAGTACCGCCAGCGTACACGCTGGTGGTACTAATTAACAATGTATAAGGAATTGCAAGTCATCTTAATTTTTTTTACTAAAACAGTTGGAATAAATAGTTTTAAAAATTTTAAGGATAAAATATGTAATAGAAAGGAAAAACACCAAGGAACAGTCAATATACAGATAAATATCCAAGTATTCAGCACACTATATATGAAAATATTCTAGCTTTTATCTTCCTATGTATTACAAACAATTTTCAATCTCATAGTTTTGACAAATTTTTATACAAATAAGTCAAACACAAATGTCACCAAAATTACCTTCCAAACCTCATAGTTCCTGTCACATACGTCTGCCAGTGAGCAGCATAGAAGAAGAATGTAGCTGCAAAACACTGTAGAAACAACCAGTCTGGATTTGTCCCCGTTTGCATAGTCAAAGCTGTGGCCAGCATAACAAATACTGAAATCAACAGAATAACACTTGTTAAATACTGGCAAAAAATTCAAGTCAAAATTTTCAGTACAGTAGGATATCAACACTTCATCCCAACTTGCAAGACTGTGGGTTATCTCAGATGACTCCCATACAGGACACTTGCAGGGGCGGATTTAGGCCGTCTTCTGGGTCTTCCGGAAGACGGTCAGATTTTCAAGTTTACATTGGCGGGTATCCAATTTTTTCTGTTGGAAGACGGTCAAAAATGGTGGATGGATCAACAAAGATAATTTGGAAGACTGTCACAAAATATCTCTGGATCCGCCCCTGACTTGCATCCTAAAATCATTTTCTCGTATTTGTTGCAATTCAAATTCAATTCTACACTGGGGTGGCGCTAGCAATTTTTTCATTTAGTCACCATTTGTTCTCCAAATGGTTTGGACTAAAATAAATCAAATCAACCCTATTTTGTTTAGCCAATTTCTCAGTTTAGCATTTGGCTAAATTGGTGAGTGTCAGCACTACCCTACCTACACAATCTTAAGTACACATATACCTGTAGATATGGAGTCGCACCCATGGTCAAAAAGCTCTCCAAGAGGGGAACTGCTGTTGGTCCTTCTAGCTTGCTTGCCATCTATGGCATCCAGGGACTGATAGATGAACAAACCTAAAGCACATAATAACAGGGCACCTGCAGGGATCTGAAACAAATAGTTTAATTTCAATTAGTGGTCTTTAACTGGCTATGTGGCTACTAGTAAGGGCCAAACTCCCAGGAAGTTTTTTTTCATTTATATATAATTTGATAAAATCTACAACAAACTTTTAAAAATTTCAGTGTATGTTTGCCTGCTTGGGTGTGTGAGTGTGCACTTGTGTGGAAATCTTTCAATATATTACTTTTACTTTGAATTCTCATTTAACATGATAACAATTCTTGAAAAATAGATTTCCAGAGTTCATTTAAAAAAGGTGTCAATTGCGATTCATAATTTTCCTACACACAATACAGTCAATCAAATTCCATTGAAATTCATGGATTTCATCCAGAAATAGAATGCTTCTAATTACTGAGCCAGGGTGTGTAATTGGATTCATGACATAATACCCTTTTACACCAGCAGGTGATAAGTCTAATAAGGCAGCTGTTGAATATCCTGCCTAAAGTCTGATAATATAGCATGCTGTACTGCCAACAGTACAAGGAGCGTACTCAATATTCTTACGTCTACCCTTTTTTTTCTTTTTCTCTATTTATTCCTGAGTGAATCTTAGAGGATAATTGTAAGGGATTCATTCAAGTTATGAAGATTTTTGATATTTATACAAAATTTTGGTATGTCTTAACTTTCAATTTTTTTCTTTTTCTTTCTTTTTTTTTTTTTTTTGGGGGGGGGGGGTCCAC